CGTAGCTGCCTGCCAAGACCTTTTTACTCCAAACACACAGAAACAAAAACAATACACACAGTTGAACAGCACACTACTTTGCCAGAGATTCAGCTTTTGTCCGTCACAGAGGTCCAAATGGCCACCACCACCCTTTTATAGCCTGTGGGGTGTGGTCCAGTGACTCAGCTTAATCTCTGGCACGTCTCTTTTTCTGCTGTGCACGCTTATCGCTCCTACACTGGCGTGGATCCAGCCACAACTTCTCCTCCTCATTATCCGACACACCTGGCTCCTGGCCAATCTGAGAAACACCTGGCTCCTGGCCAATCTCTTCTCCGTCGGGAGACACCTGAGGCATTGCCAAAGAGGAGGGTCTTGGAGAGGGAGGCCTAGCCATCTCCTCTCCTTCATGTTCGGAGCCTTCTTTCTCTGATAAGAGGGGCTCACAAGATGGAGCCACAACAACAGCATGACTATATGCTGAGGGGCACAGAATGCTTCCCACTGAAATGGTACCTATTGATCTACTCACATTTGCATGGTTTTGAATTGCTAGGTAGGCAGGAGCTGGGGCAAGGATGGGAGCTTACCAGTGGTGGGATTCAAATATGTGAACAACCGGTTCTCTGTGTGGATGCCACTTCCGGAAGTCCATTCTGGGCCTGGGCAACAAAAAATTAGTTACCGGTTCTGCCAGAGTGGTGCGAACTGGCTGAATCCCACCACTGGAGCTTACCCATCACACAGCACTCAGATTTCAAATTCTGCTGTCAGCTTCCCAGCTGACAAGCTTAAATGTCTTTAACCATTGAGCCATCATGCCCCACAACATGATATATACATATAACATATATATATATTCTAATAATATATGCATGTAATATATGAATTTATATATATATAGTTTGCATTTAAATTCATATATTATTAGAATACATGAAATTATTACGTTAGTGGTCAATTAATGCTGCCATATTTTAATTTAAGGAAAGAAGAACCTATGACAGTAGTGGCGAACCTATGGCACGCGTGCCAGAGGGGGCACTCAGAGCCCTCTCTGTGGGCACGCGTGCCTTGCTCTTTGGCTAAGTTTTCTGAGGAAAAAGCCATTTCTCAAGCCCTTTCCTAGCCAAAAGAAGCCTCCGGAGCGAGTGTGCTGTTTTCAGCTTTGAATTATATCAAATCTGACACCAGAAACAGATTAACAGATGACCTGAGTGCAGCATGCGTTGCTTTCAAACTTACAAAGTATAATCCAAGGTTAGACAAATTATCAGCATGCATACAACAGCAAAAATCACATTAATTGTTCAAAAGTATGCCAAATGCAAACTTTTACCTTTCAGGAAAAAGTTGTTTGTATCATTGAAAGCTTTGTTACTGTGTTTTTCTTTTAAGACAAAAGATGTTAATGTATGAGTTGTTTTTTTTTCTAAACTAAAACCTCAGTATTCAGATTAAATTGCCATGTTGGCACTTTGCAATAAATAAGTGGGTTTTGGGTTGCAGTTTGGGCACTCGGTCTCTAAAAGGTTCACCATCACTGACCTATGAGCTAGATGGATATTCATCAGTGGGACTTAAACCAGACCTGATTAACTTAGTATGACTAAGACAGAACCCAAAGTTACAGAAATATGTTAATGTTAAATCCTCTTTGAGGTTATCTTGTTATTGCAGTAAGCCTGCTAATAACTTTTTCTGGGAAGCTCTTTTGGCTGATTTTGCTCTTGATAAAGCTGCTGCTGACATAGACCTTGACCACTTGCTCAAGATTTAGTGATGTTGCTTCAAATAGGTGTAAGCTAATGACCTTGGCCTGCAACTGTATGCACTGAGATAAAAATAATCTATTGAAGTGGAACAAATGTTATTGAACTGGGTTATTGACACAGATATCAAGGAGAATTCCATTAGAAGACAGAAAATAACATAGGCAGCAGAAAGTTTAAGAATATTTATCCAACATCTCCCCCGCACACACACTTGTAGCAGTTGATTCTTATTTAATTTTTTCATTGAAAATAAACATGGCACGTGGCTTGTTCCATGGTCAAATATCAGACAATGAAATATAGTAGCTTATATTATGGAGTCTCCAAGCGATAGAGTTCTGCCTTAGGAAAACAGTTGATAATTTGGTGACAGCCATGCAAAGAATTAAGACCAAACTCACTGTTAAATATGTAAAATCTCATAAACTGTTTATCTGTAGCACAGAAGTGTATAATTAATTACACTTCCATAGAGACACACTTTCTAATCCTATCTACTTTTACAAAATATTATTTTAGGAATCCTTTCTTTAACCCAATGCTTCTAAAATAGAAATTTCCAGTTCTCTTTGAACCTATGTAAAATTTGAATGGCAGCTCTAATTTCTACAATTCTATAATGGTTTTACTTCACACCTTACATTAAAAATAGTTTACAGGAAGATGTGTGTGAGGCAGCACTAAGTAATGTTGAACAGGTCAGACTGCTTGCCTGAAATCAAATCTCCAATGAAAAAAAAATAACCTCTTGCCAAATACAAATTAAGATGTGAGTATACAAACATCCAAATATAACCTTTGGGTATGTCATTATTTACTCTTAAAAAAAAAAAACCTTCTGTCTTCCAGTACAGTGAGTTAGAAGGAACATGCCATGTGACCCATAAATAGTTATAAATCAGTTTCTAAAAGATTTTGTGCCGACTTCTATTGCAAAATTAGTTCTAACGTTTTTTAAATGTATTAGCCAAGTTACAACTACAAAGTTTCAGTTTTGGTTTGGGATACCACAATTCAAACAATGACTTCGGTAAATTGGCAAAGTCCATGATATTTTCGAGCAATCCGCTTGGTAATACGAAGAATGTTGCATTTAACTCAGTCTAATTAGAAGATTAATTCATTTGTATAAGTTCTTGTTCTGAATTAACATCTATGGGAAAAAAAGCATTTAAATATAATTGAATGCCGGCATTAGCTCGTATTTCTTGTGCTAAGGAGCAAATTAGAAAAAAAAAATAATATCTATGGTTGTGCTAATTATAATTATTCTATTAGACTGAGATTCAAATAAAATTCAAATTACACAACAACTTTTATTACTATGAAACACTTTCAATTCAACCAAGTTTAATGGGTCTTTTATTTGTTTTTTCGATTAGGACAGTAGCTATTTCATTTCTATAAAACCTTTATTTTGAAAGACTGTTTTACAGAAACAGCATAACGGTAGAGAAATAAGTTAAAAAAACATTTAATGCTAAACAATAACAAACTTTCTTTCACTCTGATTTTGAATACTTCTCGTTTAGAAAGGTTTTCTTAAAAAAACAACAACAACCCAGAAGTGCATTGTTTTGTATTTTGTTGGTTAAAGCCTTATGTTTGGGTGGGCCAATTCCTACAATCTTCTAAGAATGAGAGCAGTTCAAGGGGAAGGGATCATTAACACAGATAGGAAGTTAACAACAAGCCCTCTTTGCTGGTTGTTGAAGCTTCTATCCAGAATGTTTTAGCTTAGATTCCTACATTGAAAAGAAGTTTCAGTGGCATAGCTTTCATTCTGCATCACATTGGTAAGGAATGCTACAGAAGACAGACATGTGCAAAACTGACAAAAATATAGGAAGAGTAATTCTTAAATCTGAGCCCTCACAATATGTGGATCCAACTAGCAGCAGGAGAAATTCCAACCAAAACATACACCAGATGTAGTAACTGAGGGCTTTAATGAGGTGTGAATTCTCTCATCTGAATTTTAAAATAATTAATTTGTTCCCCTTGGGCTTCCTGTATGATAACCTGCCAAAATAATAGGGAAGTAAAATCTGAAACGGCTGCTTAGGAACTGTGAGAATTACACAGATACACTCTGTCTCGATAACCGGATTCAAGGATCTGTGCATTTGCCAAGATTGCTGGGCTTTTGTTTTTCACTACAATGGAAAGAAATGTGTTGAATGTTTTCTGATAAATAACGGGGGTCAGGTGTTTACTTTCAAAGAGGGCTTTTTTTCAATTTTTTTTTTGCTAAAAATCATGTGAGTCATTCTGTGCTCTCACTAATTTCATTGTTGATGTTCCCTCAGCAGGTGCTACAACCATTGAGAAGTACGATCTTAGGACCAATATATGGATCCAGGCTGGAGTAATGAATGGAAGAAGGCTACAGTTTGGTGTGGCTGTTATTGATGACAAGCTCTTTGTTATTGGAGGGCGAGATGGCTTAAAGACATTAAACACGGTCGAATGTTATAATCCGAAAACAAAGGCTTGGACCGTCTTGCCTCCAATGTCTACTCACAGACATGGCTTAGGTAAGAGTTCCCTTTATGAAAGGTGACTTTGTCAAATGGGGTAATATATAAATATATATATATTCAAAATTTGTGGCTGGCAAAGAGGTAGTGGGAGACTAGTATAGCTATTTCAGGCTCATTAGCCCTCATCAGCTAGTCACACCCTTTAGGGATTCGAACCTGGGCAACTTGCATGTTAGGCAGCTGTATTACCCTTTTGAGCCAGAGGTTCCCCCTTACTCCTGTCAGCAGAAACCAGGGAGGATATATATATCTTATCTTTTGGGTGAGGCACCCGGTCTATCAAATGTAAATCAGTCTGTTCTGCTTTTTGCTCCAATCTAGGAGCATGTTTTGGAGGCAAACGTCACATATTGTGAGCACTATAAATTCAAAATTTGTGGCTGGCAAAGAGTTAGTGGGAGACTAGTATAGTTATTTCAGACTCATTAGCCCTCATCAGCTAGCGCGAAACACAGAACAGACTGGTTTACATTTGGTAGACCGGGTGCCTCACCCAACAGATAAAATAGATGATAGATAGATAGATAGATAGATAGATAGATAGATAGATAGATAGATAGATAGATAGATAGATAGATAGATCACAAAATAAAGTGTGTGATAGCCAAAAGTCAGTTAGAGGCAAGCCAGTACCAAAACAAAATGAATATAATTCTCTATTCTTAAACTGATCCATCAATAAAAAAGACGTTGAAATTTGGAGCAGCTTCCATATCTAATGTAACTTAGAGAAAATGTAAGTTAGAGTTAATTGAGTAAACTTAGCATTACTTTATTCATAGTGGTAGGAAATATCAAGAGGGCACAAAGAGAGATTGAAAGTCTCTACTTTATTATGATTTTAGGATATAAGATATCACATGATTTGTAAATAAACTTCAGAATACACTTCTTTCATTTTTAACTAATGATAAGCACCTAGTATTTTTCCCCAAGAAACATACTTGTAGTTATAATTTAGTGACTGAACACAGTCATATAGAGATACAATTATTACAATCTTCAGATTACAAGCAG